AATAGCAAAAAGGGATGAAGTAAACTAGATTCTAGATCCAGTGTCTTCTGCATTTTTTTTTCCTTAAAATCTGTTCTGCTTGTATGTTTAGATAAACTGGGTATTTAGTTAATATGCTGTTTCACAGCAGCTGGCTCGTAGTGAATGTGTCATTCAATAGAAAACAAAGAGAATATTTAAAATAAATATAGATAACATTGTTATACTTGAGACTAGCTTAATGTATTCTGCAGTGTACTTCTGCTCCATAGAGTTTAGTGTTTATATTACTACTTGCAAGCATGATTTTGTTTGGAAATGACTTTGAAGCAGTTGCAAAGGCAGTATGGAAATGCATACCTCATCCTGTTCTTTCCAACTCTGCACTTAATAAAAAATGAATACTCTTTTCTTCAGATCTCATGAGCAGTGACCCAAATTGTGTGTTTATCTTTCAGGTTATAAAGTTTTAGCACTCTTGGATGTGCCTGATATGAATCAAGAAAAAGCTGATGTATATATTCATGTGACATACATCAAAAAGTGGGACATATGTGCTGGCAATGCCATCTTGAAAGCCCTGGGGGGGCATATGACCACCCTGAGTGGTGAAGAGATCAGTTATACTGGGACTGATGGCATTGAAGGAGGACTCCTTGCTAGCATCAAAATGAACCACCAGGCTCTGGTCAGAAAACTCCCAGATTTAGAAAAGACAGGACATAAATAAGCATAACTGATCATGGGTGCAACTCTTCCAGAGATGAATTGGTCAGCCTGAACTGCTGGAAGCTTCCAAGAACTGGTAGAGACTGCATGGATAAGGCCATCCTGAACTTTCTAAAGTATTTATGAAGCATTGGAGACTACTTTCCCTGTAATAGGATACAAATTCAGGGAAAATAGGTTGCTTCGTTTCTCAAGTATTGTCTTTATTTTTGAGACTATTTTCGTACAGTTGTCATACACAAGGCACACACACACATACACATATACACATATATATTTGTGAATTAAACTCTAGAGCTTGGTCCACATTGTTATGAGCCACCATTTTCACTCAAAATCATGAATCTTCAGTTTCTTAAAGATACCTTCATATAGAATTGGGTTGAAGGAGGAAGGCTTGCTTTTTGTGTAGTTAGTTAATGTAACTTTGCAGTTGTATCTTCTTGAAATAAATTGGTAATTTTTACTCCTGTTCAGATGGAAAGCACAAGAAGTCACATCCATTAATATGTAACAAGTGTTCTAGTCACCTGTTACTGCTTCTTTGGATTAAAATAGAAAAGGTTTAATTAAATTCATTTTTTATTTTGAAATTTTAATAACAGGTTCACCAGCTAGTAGAAAATATAGGCATATGATGGACTACATTATAATCGTAATTTTCTGTGAATGTGTGTGTTTTGTTTTGATAAAGAAAGAGGTAGCCCTGGCTTTACTGTCTCTGCTGTCCTGCTGTTGATTTTCTTTTCCCTGTGGACGATGCCATGCTTTCATCTTTTCCCTCCTGACCAGCATTTAGTCTTCACTTGTAAAGCTGGTTTTAGGTCTCAGTGTTAGCACTCTGAATTTGCTGTATTTTTTCATTAAGGTTAAAATATGCTGTAAGACACTATAAGAATATAAATTATTCTATGATAATTGAAAGTTACTTGACATTAATATGGATTTACTTTTCAGGAATTTTGTTTTAGTAAATTTTTTTTAATTTTCCAGGTTTGTGTATAGAGATTCATTCTCTCATTATCAAGAATGAGTTATGGTTGCTTTTGCCATGATTGCTTTTAACTATTAACAGAGTTACCTAGCATAACCAGATTCTCAGAGGAATCACTTTTGACACAATTCTAGTTTCCTTTCAGATTATGGTAATAAAAGTTAAAGTTACTTTTTGGTGAAAAACCTTTTTTCTAGTCAGTTGGCAGAAACTGGTTAGAAAAAAAGCTTGTGACATATTTGTTGTGTTGCTATAACTAAATGCTTGCTTTTTGAGCTGTTTTTCGATGGAATGTGTGGTTTTTCTTGGTGTGAAATATAGGAAATTCATGTAAATAATCAATCATGTTATTTCATATGGCCTCAATGCCCTTATAGACTTTAATACACTATTAAGGAGAGAAATTTCTCATATTTTCTTTTATTCTAAAAGTTTAACCCTAAAGCAATGTCTTACTTTCCTATCTTACAGGTAAAATCGAGCAAAGAATGGGCATTCTAGCCTGGCAGAATGTGCATACTTTAGATTGGCGTGTTATGGTGTCCACAGCCCTACACTTTTTCATTAATGAACTAAGTCTAGAACAGTCCAAGTGCTTCCCCTTCATAATCTGGGAGCAAATCCATTAGATTGGTTTTTACTCAGTGAAAAATCAAAACTTGGTAGTTGAAATACTTGGTATTTAAACAGGACTTGTGAGTTTTTGAAGACAATTTCAGAGATGTGGTCTATTTACTCAGCAGTATGAGAAAAGTCTTTTCTTCCCAGGAGAGATGGCAAAAGCAGATGCTGTTAGAGTTCTGTGACATGGGCATTTGTGTCTATTGTAATAGGTCAAGTAGGAAATGGAATGTAATTGGAGATTTTTTAATGTACAAAAACTTCATCATTTAATGGAAACAAAACTGAGCTCATACTAACAAGCAGAATTGCTGTAGTTTTCAGTTTCATTAATTTGTATGGTATAACTAAGAGTGTAAAGAATGTATTGTGCTCAAAAGTTAAGATATCAGCTGAAAGATAAATACATTATTTTTGTAATTTGTTGGGTATAGTCTAGTTACTAATGATTTTAAGTACTTTTATAGATAGTTCACTTTTTAAATTTTTGTTTAAGAGCCAATATACATTACAGGGAACAGTATTTATATTTATTTATATGAGATATTATTGTGCCCAGAACATATTAGCCATGAGGTATGTAATATCTCTCAGAATTAACATAAAATTATTTCTAAAACGTAGTGAAATAGTGTGTTTACTTTTAGAGACTCAGCTTTCCATTCTTGGTCTTCACCTTCCTTCCTCTTTCATGAAGCAGTGGCAACAGCCTCAGTGGCATCAGTAATGCCCCCCCACCTCCGACCACTCTTCATCTCTACCCTGTTACTTAGATCCTTTGCCTTTTTCCTGCTCTCTTTCCTAGCTAGTATGCCACCTTAACCCATACTCACCTCAAAATTGTTTTGTAAACTCATTTGTTTTTCTAATTTGTCCACTGAACTCTTATGGTAGAATTGAGACTGATAGAGACCATGGTGAAGGAGATCAATCCAGGAGGAGGACCTAGTTAACAGTTATTTTTAGATCTGGTGAACCATTGTTTTTAGACCTAGTTAACCACTATTTTTGAGGCTCCATAAGAAGTAAAAGAAAATCACCTTGAAAGTCATAAACTTTACGTTGTCATCTACAGTCTCTACAAAGGTTCTTCCCACCTATCTCTCAAGAACAGAAGCATGAAAAATACTAAAGGAATTTGATAGATACATCTACTTGAAAAGACCTGCTGTTTTCTGTTTGGTTTTGTGCAGTTGTGCTTACACAGGGACCTATGAGGTGGTCATATTTGTCTTTGTAAGTGATTTTCTCCTTTCTCCAGTTTTGTTTCTTTATTTTAAACTTGAAATATTCAAATGAATTATTGCCAGTGTATAATGAACTAATGAGAACATTTTAAAAGACTTATATTTTATGTAACAATTATGGAATTCTTTTTGCTGGATGCTCTGACTTTTGCAAATTTTGTCAGAGGAAGGATAGTTGGGTGAAGGCCGAAAAGAGGGAAGGAGACAAGGAGCCTCAGGCAGGGGGTAAAAGGGAGAATGCAGAGGCTTTTGATCTGTCCTCCCAGATGTCAAGTTCAAAAGTGCCCTGCTGAGGCTATGAAGGTGGCAGTTTACCACCCAGAAGTAAAGTGGAGGAGCACTGCAGAACAGAAAGACCAGCTTCCTTTCTTGGGTACAGAACAGTTGGAGATGGCCATCTGGGAAGAGCCTGACAGGTTCAAGCAGGAAATGTTTGGTTTGTTTGAGGTACAACTACTTATCTGGGCTATGTGTCAATTATTGCTGTATAGAAACAGTAATTTTTTGTTTTAGATCTTGATTAAGATGTATTTAATGATAATACCTACAAAGTGTCTCTGTCTTAAAACTGTTGTGTAGCATAAACCTAATCTATGGTTTGATCTTTTTTCTTTCCTTAAAAAAAATTGTGCCTTAATAATAGGGCATTGTATGTTAATAAAAGAAAACAAAACCTTTTTTTAATAGATAGAGAAAATAGGAGCTTTTGCCACGAGATTTTAAGTTCTTTTGATGTTTTTAATACCAGCGTTGGGGGAAGTCATTACAATTAAATAAAACTGATATGAAATTATTTTTGCATAACCTAGCATTTACAACTAAAGTACATTTTTATAAGAACTGGAATCTTGTTGTATATGTCTGAAATGGTATTAGATCATTTGCTGTTTGATTTAATGTAAGACTGGGATAGATCAGTTTTACAAATTTTACTTTGAAATAAATCATTTCAGTGAGCTAATTTATCTCTTTTTTCTACTCTGGTTTAAAAAAAAAAGCTGTTGCTGGTACCATTTCAGCGGTTTATTAATGTGAGTAATACTGTGTGTTGTGATACAGCAAACAGTTCTTAATGAGGAAGGATTCTAACCCTGATCAACTGCTGTTGTGAAGGCTGCTTCACAATAGTGACATGATTCAAAGAGTTATTTAATGAGGTGCTGTTGTATGCAGATTGTTTCCTTTTGAATCTCATCAAAGCCTGGCAGGTATATGCATTCCAATTTACCATTGGCAAAGGAATTTTTGGTTTATTTTTTTAAGTTGAATGGTGAATTGACTTTGTGGAAAAAGTAGATTTATCAGTTTTCCTTTAAGATAATACAAGTATAAAACTCTGAAGTTAAGGATGGTGGCTAATACTGGAACACTAATTATATATTATGTTTGTAAGAATTCCCTAATTAACGTAATTTGGAAAAGCTGAAATTGTGATGTTTTGTCAGTAGTATATTCAATTTAAATTATTTTTAAGGTATAATATAAATACATTTTTTTTTAATTCTACAGAGACTGGTCCTCCATAATTTGTGTTTTTAAATAGAAAAGAAAACATAATAAGTCATGAGATACTTAACCTATAAACAGTCTCCTGTCCCCACATGATGGCCTTTAACGTTCAGTGAAGTATTTCTGAGGGAAACCTTGCTATCCTATACTGGCAGTAGCCAAAACTAGCTTTTGTAGTCTTAACAGCAAACAGAAGAGACTGCTCAGCTCAGGCTCTTTCTTCCCTTTGACCGTGTTGTTTGAGCAACTACAATATTTTGAAGCTATATGCAAACTGAAATTGTTTCCTGTGGGTTTCCCTGCCCCTTCAAGCTGTCATCCTCACTTCCTGTTAATCCATTTGTTAAAATGAGTCAACAGTGAGAGAAAATATTTTACTCCTTTCCTCTTTTCACACATGTAGAGCTATAGAGTAAATAGACCCTTTCCTGTCACAGAGATGTCATATTTTCTTAGCATGCTATCACCTGCCTTCCCACCCCACCATTTCAGGTGTATTGAAGTGAATCCTAATGTCAGCTGAACTTCACTAGAAGAGAATCTCCATCCATTGCCTCAGAGCAGTGTGTTTGTACTTCACCACACCACTTTTTATACACTATTAGTGAACTCCTTGAGATGGAGTGTGTCTGGGTGATTTCTGTGTTTTCACCACAACCCTAACACCTAGCCCAGTGTCTTGCACAAATTAGGTCCTTAGTGTGTATTGAATTAAACTAAAGGGTCTTTACTACTGTTAGCTTGCTTCATGCCTCAGTTGTATAAGCTAGTTGTTTCCTTTGCAGGTACTTGTGGTTATCACCCCCAACACTAAATTACCTTTAAAAGTTTTGCCTTTCCTTTAGATAACCAGTGTCCAATTAACTGTACAAAATGTGATTGCTTCCAATGACTTAATAATGACAAACTTTGCCCCCGGATATATTTTGCCAAGTGAAATTTGAATCATCTGAATAAATTGGTCATGTCTGAAAAAGATGTCGTGTTGTATCTTTTTTTTTCTACTATAATACAATATACCATTTTAACTGTTTGTCTTAGTTAGCTTTCTATTGCTGTAATAAACACTGACCAAAAAATTTTTGTAGAGAAAAGGGTTTATTTCATCTTACAGTTTACAGTCCACAGGAGAAGCCAAGGTGAGAACTCAGGGAGGAACCTGGAGGCAGCACAGACTGTGACAGAATGCTGTTTACTGGCTTGCTCCCATGGCCTGTACTCAGCCTGCTTTCTTATATATTCCAGGACCACCTGCCCAGGCATGGCACCACTCAAAAATGGCTGGGCCCACCCACATTACTCAACAATCAAGAAAATGCCTCACAAATATGGTCACAAACAGGCAGTGCCTCAGATTCCCACTTCTCAGATGTGTCAGGTTAACAACTGATGATCTCCAGTACAATTGACCCCTTGTCAGTTTGACACATAAGGATATCACTGTTAAACCATAACCTTTTCATTTCATGTTCCCAAGATCTTATGTCAATGTACAAATCACAATATAAAACATAATACAAATTTTACAAAGATCTACAGTCCTTAAAAATTCCGGTACTTTAAAAGCTCAATGTTTCTTTAAAAATCCAAAGTCACTTGTCTCTGGGCTCCTATAAAATTCAGAATAAGTTAAATACTTTCTTACTCTAAGAAGGAAGACTCAGGACTCAATCAGATCAAAACAAAACTGAAATCAGTGTAAATAACTCAGTGTCTGACATCTGGGATTCACTCATGATCTTCTGGCTCTAAAGAGCTTGAACAGCTCCACTTTTCAGGCTGTGTCATCCATAGCACACACAACTTGTTATGTAGACTCAGGCCAGCTCCATTCCACACCTGCTGCTGTACTTAGTGGTCATCCCACAATCCTGGCATCTTTACTGTATTTTGGGGTCTCTACTGCAATCAAGACTGCACCTTCACCTGTGGCCTCTCCTGGTTGCTCATGATGCCAACTCTCAGTTTCTCTCCATGACTGCTTCAGTCTTAGAGCTTTCATGCTGCCAAAAGCAGTACCACATGGGAAACCCTTGTACATTACCAAGTTTGGCTACCAGCCCAAGATACAGCTTTGGCCACTGTATTAATTACTTTTCTGTTGCTGTGATTTAAAAAATGACCAAGGGAACATGTAAAAGGAAGAATATTTTGCTTATGGTTCCAAAGGAGCAAGAATCTATCATGGCAGCAGAGATGGCCAGAGTAGAAATGGTGTGCTCACATCTTCAAGCAGGCACAGGAAGTAGAGAACAGCTGGAGATCTGGCAGGGCTTAAGAACTCTCTAAGCCCACCTAAAGTGACCACTTCCTTGATCAAGGCCACACCTTCTAGAACTTTCCGTAATAGCATCACCAGCTGCCAGTGCCAGCCGGCCAAGACAGACAGTACCTGAAAGTGGGAGTAAGGATTGAAAGAAAAAGCAAAAGACAGAGAAAAGATACTTGGGAGGACTGTCAGTAGAGACTGCAGCCCTGGTTTATTTTAGCTCAGCCTTTTTATACAGTAGAACATCAGAGATAGCCACCGTTTGCTTAACTCAATTAGCTTCAACAGCTGTTTTTCCCACCTGTATCTGAGGGTCAAGGAGTGGACAAGTACTTGTTGTGAACACCATTTAACCATCTTCCCTAAATTATAAACACATTCCTCCTGACTTGGAAAATTAGGTACCTGTGTGCAAAACACAAACTCTAAGTAAATAAGCCTCCCACAGCTCAATGGACATAATGGCTACACTTATATTAATAGCTCCCAACATCTCCCCCTTTTTTATTTTTTATAACCCCAGATTATGCTATATCCAGGGCAGAAGGACCGTGCCTGTCTTAGGTTGTCTTCTGCTAGAGCAAAGCCTTACCCATCATCGGCACGTAGCTTCCATCAGCTACGCCCTGTCTTAGGTTGACTTTCTCCCAGAAGATCTTACCTGTCTTTGACTACTGGCCTTGGTTAGGGGAGGAAGTGCAATCTCATATCATGCACAGCAGCCTTGACTTGCCACAGGATTTCATAAATAACTTTACTGCCACCAGATGAAAACAAAGACATAGGAAAAGCACGCCAAGTCCTGCTAAACCATACACAATGGAAGTGATAGAGGACCATGATGGTAAGGTGGCTCTCAAACTTTTTAGAATATCTGCTGCTGCTTACAGGGTGGAAATGCTTGTGGAGAAATTTTTTTCTGTATTATCTCTTGGCAATAACACTTTGACATTGGTACAGTATCCACCTCGTCCCACAAGCACATAGTCATCTACTTGTACACACCTGGACTTATTATCATTTTTAACAAAACAAATAGGCAGCCCGCTTCCCGATCCTGAATAATAAAAATTCGTCACCACTTGCATCATCAGGTGTTTCAAAGAAGGCTGAGCAATTAACCGAGAGTCATTCACAGTCACTACTATCTTTTTCCTCCCATGTCGTGGGGTGCAATATTGTGGATCAGGAACATAAGTCCAGCATAACTCAGCCAAGGTCACTTGCAGGAACATCATCATCAGCCACGTTTGCCACCTCATCATTCTTTTCCATTTTTTTTTCTGGCACTCGTACGGTGAACCTCACCAGCCTTTCCAACAGCCACCTGGCTCCATCCACGTCCTGTGGAAAAACACAAACATGTCACAGGGCCATTCCATTGTCCAGTTAAAGGAACCGTCCACCTGACTTGAACGTAGGTATCCTGTGACTGAGGGTGGCACATTCTATCTGCCATGGAGCGGTCATTTCTATCCATACTCAAAAAATTTTAAATGAAAAGAGTATGAAGTAAAAGATTACTTGGTGTCCGGGGATATAACTCCCCCTTTTTTATTTTTTGTAATTGTGCTTTTAAAGTGCCATGAGCTCTTCCCACTATACCTTGTCCTTTTGGGTTATACGGTATCCCAGTTTTATGCTCAATGCCCAATTGCAAACAGAAATGCTGGAACCCCTGACTGGTGTAGCCAGAGCCATTATCCGTTTTTATAACATTAGGGATCCCGGCTATGGAAAAGCAAATCAAGCAATGAGTTATAACATTTTTTTGTGGCTTCCCCTGTTTGTGCAATAGCCATAATAAAGCCAGAAAATGTATCTATTGTAACATGTACGTACCTTTGCCTGTCAGAGCATAATCTTATATAGTCTGATAAATCACCTTTCTTTCTAAAAGGCCTAATAGCAGCTTGACAGGCTCCATTAGCATTCTCAAACGCAAGCTGTTTCACTAAAAGTAAACCTGCTTCACTACCCCCCAGCAAGCGACCTGCGGTTTGCAGTAATCGAGCCACGAAATCCTGATATGGCTCATCTGGACCTTGCCTGATCTTAGACAAATCCTCAGTCTGCCTACCACTAGATGGCAGTTTATACCAGGCTCTTCGGGCTGCAGCACTGATCTGCGCATAGGCCGCAACATCGTACTGCAACTGCTGAGCAGTATCCCTATATTGTCCTTAACCAGCTAACATGTCACCTGGCACTGTTCCTCATACTCAGATTTCCACAACAGATAATCTCCCCCTGAAAGGCAAGCACGTGCCATCTGTTTCCAATCTCCAGGAGGAAACGCGTCTGTGGACAGGGATTCTAACAAAGCCTGGGTAAAAGGGGCAGTGGGAAACCTTAACTATCTTTGGAAATACCAACTCATGCAAATTAGCAAATTGTAACAATTTAGCCTTGGGATAATGATTCTCTATCTGACCTATATAATTTGCAAATGCAATTGCCCATGAATCTACATTTTGAAACAGCCATAGCAACTGTGCCTTAGTGCAAGGAACAACAATTTGAGCAGGCTCAGCTCCAAAGTACCGACATGATTCAGCACGCAATTGTTGGACCAAGGTTGCTACAGCCTCATAATAAGGATTAATTACTTTGGTGACACTGGTAGATGCACCCAAAGAAGAGTGCCATCCTGCCAAAGTACAGCCGTAGGGGTGTGAGTGGTAGAAAAACAACCCATCCAGGGCCGGCTATAATCTACATAGGTAATTTGTTGTTGTTCAATAGCATTTTCTACTAATTGTAAAACTTGAAGAGCATCAGGAGTAATTATCCTGCTAGAGTTGGGATCAGAGTCTCCTTTTAACATATCAAATAAAGGCTTCAACTCCCCCGTGGTGAGCCTCAGATGGGGACGAAGCCAATTTATGTCTCCTAATAACCTTTGAAAATCATTTAATGTTCTTAAATTATCCTTCCTAATTTGTATTTTTTGAGGTTTAATTTATTTGGGATACAGCAGTTTTCCTAGATAACTGGATGGAGCTTCTCTTTGCACTTTCTCAGGGGCAATAACTAACCCATAATTTTTCAATCCCTTTTGTAAGACCCCATAGGCGGCTAATAGCAGTCCCTCAAGTTTGTGAGCTAGTAGTATATCATCCATATAGTGAATACTATATACTTCAGGATATAGATATCTAGTTTGTGCTATAGCCTGAGCTACAAATTTTTGACATAAGGTAGGACTGTTGGCCATTCCTTGAGGTAAAACTTTCCAATGATATCTTTTCATAGGCTCCTTAAAATTTATGGAAGGTACGCTAAATGCAAATCTCTTACAATCTTGAGGAGCCAAAGGAATAGTGTAAAAGCAATCTTTTGAGTCCAAGATAATTTTAAAGGTGTCCTGTGGAATAGCAGGAGGAATAGGCAAAACGGGCTGTAATGCGCCCATCAATTCCATTGTTTTATTGACTTCTCTCAAATCTTGTCCATTTACCTGACCTTTTCTTGACCACAAAAATAGGAGAATTCCAGGGTGAATTAGAAGGTTTAATATGTCCGCTATCAAGCTGTTTCTGCACTAACTGCTCAGTGGCTTTTATTTTTTTCTGGGTAAGGGGCCTTTGATCCACCCATACTGGCTTTTCGGATTTCCATATTATAGCATCAGCATGAGGTGCAGGTTGTTGAATGGCCTCTGTTAAAAATATCCTAGCCCTTTCGTATCCAATTTTTGACACATTTG